GGGATCGAACCCTGGGTACTGCATCTGCTACTGCTAAAAGGTGAAAACCGTTTCACTCCCGCCGTCCTAAATTCGAGGTCCTCCGAGAATATTTCAGTCCAAGGCAGGACCTTTACCCTTCTTGTCACGCTCATAGGCTCTGACTATGTCGGGAGCTGTTTCTAGAAGTTCTGTCCTAGTAAACCAGCGGTCGTCCTCCGGTTCCTGATAAGCAAACCGGATCTTATACTGTTTCTGTGGACAACCTCTACCTCCTGTTCTAAAGACATCTTCATCTACAATGCCGTCAATGTCATAGCTTCTATCCATATCTGGGGGTATCATGGATCTTCTTGAAGGGAACTGTTGACTTGTGACACACGGCAGCAGCTTTGAAGCATGAAACACAGGGTATGTGTGGAGGTGTGCTGGAATCTCTATAGTGTAGGACGGTCCATCCTCTCCGCCTTTAACTTCTAGAACCGGCCACGGTCCTCTATATGCAGGCACTAACTTCTGCGAGATGTTTTCCTCAGGTGCAAACTCTTTAGCCTTGACCCAGACTAAGTCGCCTACCTGAAACTGCGATGGGCGACGATGCTTATTGGCCTGTTCTATCATTCTGTGCTGGGCCTTCCTGAGGTTCTCTACAACTGTTGCTAGTTCTTTCTCGTGCTGTATCGCAAACTCCCTAGTACCGGGCGGTAGCCTGTGAATCTGATCCCGGTTCAGTCCTTCGAATGGTCTGCGCGGCCTAAAGGACTTGTGCAGCTCATTGGGAGTGCGACAAGTGGACAGATGTACGTTGTTGTTGTACGCACTAGCTACCTTGGGTAACATCTCATCCCAGTCAATCTGATCGGGTCTAATGTACATGCGCAGAACTTGCTTTAGGATCTTGTTCATCTGTTCAGTCTGACCGTTTGTCTCTGGATGGCGGCCATACGACATCAACAGCTTAGATCCGTAGACTCTCATGAGTTCTTGCCAGTTCTGGCTGGTGAAACGACTATCTCTATCGCTAACTATCAACAACGGGATTCCATTCTCACTAACCCAAAAATCAAAGAACTTCCGTATAACTAAGTCTGTACGTGCCTCTGCAGGCAAGGGAACAAAAACTGCATACTTACTAAATCGGTCAACTATGACCATGACTGGGCTCTTACCATGTTTGCTCTTGAATTGGGTGTCCATGAAGTTTATGGACACCGAGTCTCCCGGCTGATCCGGAATAGGCAAGGGTCTGAGAAGACCTAGAGGGGCACGCGTAGTAGTCTTATTCCTCTGGCAAACGTTGCAACTGCGGACATACTCTATGCAGTCACTTTTCATTCCTGGCCAGGTGTACGCACGCATCAGGTTGGCTAAAGTCTTTTGCCAACCGAAATGTCCCTCAGTATCGTGGCATTCCCCTAGGATCAAACTACGAATCTCTTCGTTGTTGGGAACACACAGGCGGTCAAATATGTTAGTCTTCTCAAACAGCAACCCGTCTGTAGTGCGGTAATCTGGCTCAGTCTCTGGGCCCTCTCTAACTCTCTTTAGGAGGTCACTATAGATGGGGTCCTGCGCATACGCTTGCTTCACTTTCTCCTGCAGGTCTCTCCCTATATCCAGATAGTGTACTATAGCTCCAAAGTAGTCTGATTTCCTACTCAGAGCATCCGCAACTACGTTGTACTTGCCCTTCACTGGCTGAAGCTCAAAGTCATATTGGTCTATCTCAGCGGCCCACCTAGTCAACTTAGGTGTCATCTTGGCCTGAGTCTTTAACCATCTAAGTGTTTCATGATCAGAATACATTTTGAAGTGTCTCCCAAGTAGGTAATGCTTCCAGTGCTCTAAAGCCTGCTTGAGAGCGTAGAGTTCTCTCTCATACGTCGAGGTGGCTACCTTCTCTGAGGGCATCCTCGCTGACATGAACTCTACGGGTCTATAACCATTGCCGTCATCTTGCTGCAACACGACGCCTATACCATACCGACTCGCGTCCGTGGTGACGACAAATGGTAGCGACGGATCAGCTACTTTGAGGACAGGATACTCTATTAACGCGCGCTTTAATCTCTTTAGCGCAGACGTAGAGTCTCTATCCCATTGCCAGATTGCCTCTTTCTTAAGCAACCTGCGCAGGGGAGCGGCGATAGTAGAAAAGTTTCGTACGAACTTTTTATAGTAGTTAGCTAGGCCTAGAAACGACCGCAACTCTGTCAATGTGCGGGGCGTCGGCCAATCTCTAATCGCCGCGATTTTGCTGTCCTCTGGCTTTATGCCATCTCCGTCTAATACGTGGCCCAAGTACAAGACTTGTGTTTTGGCCCACTTGCACTTCTTTGGATTGATCTTGAAGTTGGCCTCTCTCAACTTCTCCAAGACCTGCCTCAGATGACCCTGGTGCTCCTGGAGGGTCTTACTAAAAACTAAGATATCATCTAAGTAGACTACCACGAACTTGTCTAACCATGGTCTAAACAAGTCATTCATACAACGCTGAAAGGTGGCCGGCGCGTTGGTTAGTCCAAAGGGCATCACTATAAACTCATAGTGCCCATATCTAGTCCGGAATGCAGTCTTGTACTGATCATCAGGATGAACTTCTATCTGATGGTATCCGGACTTCAAGTCTATCTTAGAGAAGTACTTGCAACCCCCGCACCCGATCTAGGAGATCGTCTATCCTGGGCAACGGCTCAGCATTCTTCACAGTGATCGCATTTAAACCCCTATAGTCTATACACATACGAAGCTCTCCTTCCTTCTTTGGGACAAACAGAACTGGTGCTCCAAAAGGAGACGAACTGGGCCTGATCCAACCTTTCTCAAGGAGCTCGTCTAACTGCTTGTGAAGCTCCTCTAACTCTCTAGGGGACATCCTGTAAACTGTACCCTTAGAAGTTTTACTGCCAGGCTCTATCTCTATCCTGTGCTGGATGGGTCGCGACACTACTCCTGTCGGCGACTCCGACAAATCTTTGAACTCTTCCAACAGCTTGACTGACAATCGTTGGATCTATGAAACTATCCTTTTCCTTGGCCTCAGTGATAGATCTAACATAAACTACAAAGACCTAGTCCTCTAACTGCTCCTTTTTCACTAGTCGCGCGAACGCGGGAGCACTGAGACAGCAATGTGCCAAGGTGTTGTCTACACCTGACACATGAAACAGGCGGGCACTCTTAACCTCGCCTGACGGGCTAGGGAGCCTACAGTCATGCTCTCTCAAATGGAGTGTGCCCCCTGCTGCCTCTCCCCAATCCATTCCTAACACTACATCGAAAGGAAGGTCATCTTGCACGAGGAGAGTCAGGGAATGGAGAACTTTCTCCGCCTTCCCATCCTTCTCTAGGCGAAAGTACGCCTGGACTCCCTCTACATAGTCCTCAACACGCATTGTGCGGTTGCCTGCGAGGACACTGACTATGGGGTCTCCCAATTTCTGGACTTTTAATCCTAGCCTCAACTTTTTCAGCGCTCTACGGCTAATATAACTGCGGGTGGCCCCTGAGTCTATAAGGACCCCTACTCTACTCCTGAAAACTTCTACATCTACCAAGATCAGCTGTCTTTTTCTCTCTTTCTTCATCTTGGCCCAGGCTGGCATCCTCTCCTTTAACTCTTCTGCCACACCTGTGAGGGACGTGCCTAAAGAGACACTAACACAGGCGGTCTCTGGACAGCTAGCTAGGCACGGGCCTGCAACCTCTGCCATAGGCTCATGTGGGTTGGGAGTGTCCTGTTCGCGCGCGCTCACTTCTCCACATGGCCTTAAAGTAGGGGCAGTTGCAACCCCTACTGGCGGCTGCCTTTTGACTGCTGGGCAGCCCAACGGGCCTGTCTATACTTTGGACAAAATTTAATTATGTGGGCCGGGTCACCACAAAACACGCACTGACCCAAGCTCACGCGTTCCTGCCATACGCCCTGGTCCAAGCCCAAATCTTCCTAGGGCCTACCTTGTGGCAAGCCTGGGTGCCATCCTCCTTGAGGTGCCCTTCCACCTCGTCGCTGTGGGGATCGATTAGAACCTTGGCGATTTGGCGGGGGACCTTGACCCCTACCTCCCACTTGGCGGTTTCCCTGTCCGCCAACCCCCTGTGCGCCCGATCCTTGGCCTCCCATGGCCTGGCCCCTTTGGCCCTGGCCTCCTCCTCTAACTGGCGGCCTCCCTCCAACCGCGACAGCAGCATAAGACCTCCCCTGTCCCACGCTACTGTCCTCTTCCTCTAGGCCCCACTCAATCTGACTATATGGGACCTCATCAGTACCACCTTCCTAAAGTAAGGATCATGTGATCCTTGGCCCTCACCTGGCCTGAGATGGTATGACCTTTCCACCTTTTTCCCTTGTCCAAATCCTTGTGCCAGAAGGTGGTAACTGGCATGGACTTCGACTCATATAGGACCACTTCTCTGCTCAATGCATCACAGGTGATGCCGGCCTGTTGAGACTTGTCAAAGAAATGCCCACGTAGGGCCTCTGGCATGGCACGATAAAATAATTGGACCAACTGGATCTCAGTGACCCCATGGTCTGGGACGGCTACCAAGTCGTCCATGGTACCTTTCAGTGCTCGTGCACTCCTCCACTGTCACGAATGGATCGTTTGTAGTTTGTCAGAGGCGCGAACGCCTCTTGTTGGGTCTGCAAATCGCTCCTTCAAGGGGGGTGACTCTTGAATATGCAACCAGGTTGTTTTCACAACCGGCTGCGCGCGCAAGGGACCTGGCAAAACTAGCCGCCTCATCCTTAAGGGCCTGGAAGGCCATGAGGACTTGTTCCTCTGACAGGATGTGCTGTAAGTTTATGTAACTATTGACACTGGCCTCCCAGTTGTCAAAGTTCTCCTCCTTCTTCCCCCCGTATGCGTCTGGGAACTTGAGCTTTACAGGCTCTTTACGGGGTCTGACCTCGCCCTCTACAGTGGCTATTGCTTTGGCACCTTCAATGGCGCCTTCGCAAAACTTCCCCACATTGTCCCTCAGTTGCTTGACTTCCCCCCCAATGTGGGTGACCATATCGGGCGCAAAGTCTCTAAATCCCGTCCGCATGGCACTCAAAGCTACCTCCTGGCTCCAACTAGCTTGGCGCTCCTCCATCCATGCTGTGCTCAGCACCTCTAGGTAGCCCAAGACCTTATCCTATTTGGCCTTGTCGTCTGCCTGCGCCTCCACTTCTTTCCTACACTCCTGCACCTTCGCCACCGCTGCGGTCAGTTTGTTGACTTCCTCTCTCCTCCTCTTCTTCTCCCTCTTCATCCTCAATTTCCACGCCAACTTTTGCTCCTCCTCCCTTTCTCGCCGTTCCATAGGGTCCTTCATTGCTGCTAGCTCACTGGCTAGCGCATCCGTCTCATCCTGAGTCACATAAGACTCCGCCTCCTCGTCTTCTCCCAATGATAAATTGGCGACCCACACACTTATCTTCTTCTCCGTCTCAGCATCTTGTATCCCTCTTCATCGTGCCACTACTCCCTTCTCCACTCTCAATCCTCATTCTCTCTTTTTCTTCTGCTGCTGCTACTTCTGCTTCAACAGCCTTTCTTCTTTCTTCCTCCTCCTGTTGAACCCTCTTCATCTCCTCCTCCAATCCCTTCATCTTAGCCGCCTGCTCCTCTGCGATAGCCTTTAGCTTCACCTGCTTCTCGAGATCCTTCCTCTCCTTGTTTTCTTTCACTAGGGCGGCCATCTTTTCTTGCTGCACCTTGGTGTAGGGGCTAGTGTCTTTCCCACTACGGGTCTCAACCATGGTGATCAGTACACAACCGGATCAACGGTTCCAAACCTCACCACGTAGACTCTAACCCCTGACTGACAAACCTATTGACTCAATCTAAGGACTCACAGAATCCTGACAAGGATCCTGCCAACTATGGTCTCTAGCCTAGACCTAACTATGGCTATCACTACTAGACCTGTTGCTGATCAGGAGGTATTTAAGGAGATCCCCCGAACCCCTCAGGAATTATTTAACGTTGCAGACAGAACGACACGATCAGCAGGTCTCTCAAGACTTAGACGGTCTGTTGTGCAGCCCACAGCTCGGATTTCGGGCCTACCGTGCCACACCGAGCAGCCCGCCGGTCAGTACCGGTCCTTGGGAGGGTTTGACCTCCGGGACAGTCGAGTCGTCAAACATAGCTTTTACCCTTCTCATCTCGTGTGGGTTTGGTCAACAAGACCCTATCCTTCATCCACAGAGTACTATCACCTAGGGCAGAAGAGACTCGATGCAGAAAGAATAGACAGACAGATTGGACTCAGCAAGTACCAAGGGGTGTGTGCTCATCCACAGGGCGAGGGATAGGATGAAGGCTTGGCGAGATGTTACCGGCTCCAGCTTGGTCAAAGTCTTGGTCAACGCCTTGGTCAACGACCTTGGTCAACGCCGGTCAACGTTGCTATTGGCCCCCAGTCAACCCCCGGTCAACTCCGGTAACCGCCAGTCAACACCTTCGGTCAACCCTCTCGGTCAACCCTCCGGTCAGCTATGGCTGCCGGCTCCTCTTCCTCGCCAACCCTCTTCTTCCTTTCACCTTTCTCGCCTCCTTTCACCCCGGCTGCCTTCTTCTTCTCTTTTTTTTTTTTTTTTTTTTTTTTTTTTTTGGATCGGCCCTCACTTCACCTCTCGGCTATGGCATCCTCTCCCTTCTCGGTCTCTTCCCCTCTGTCCGGTCTCTCTCCCTCCTTCGTTACTCCGTGGTGACACTCCGCGGCTATGGCCGCTTCTTCTTCCTCCACGTGGGACTGCACAGTCCGCTTCATAGGTACGTAACAGCCAAACTTGTATCGCTCATCTCTCTCTCTCTCTCTCTCTCTCTCTCTCTCTCTCTCTCTCTCTCTCTCTCTNTCTCTCTCTCTCTCTCTCTCTCTCTCTCTCTCTCTCTCTCTCTCTCTCTCTCTCTCTCTCTCTCTCTCTCTCTCTCTCTCTCTCTCGCCGTGGCGATATCTTCAGCGCAGCAGGTACGTAGTAACCCAATCTTGTGTCTTCTTCTTCGTCGTGGTCTTCTTGCAGGTGCGTGGCGGCTTCTCCAACCTCAGGTCCGCTATGGCGGACTACAGCCTTCGGCGGCCACCTCTGCTATGGCGCATCACCCTGCGACACACAACAGCGCGCATGGAATAGCGGGTACCAGCTCCAATACCAATGCAATCAGACTCGTTTTCGTTCACACTTTCCATGCATGTAAACAGCAGCACAGCAAACTGGCGACATGTGCCCACTCAAAACTCAGAGATATGGCTTCCAGATACGAGTTCACTTTCAATTGGCTATGGCGACTCAGCGCCCAAACAACTCACTGTTCACACACACCGGATCACCCTGGATATCCCACACGAGTAACTCTGAACACTCGCACATATACACACACACACACACACTTCACACTAACTACAGCTATGGCAGCTATGGCTGCCTCTACCCTATCGCTATACTAAGCTCCTTCTCTCTCGCCCACTGCTTCCTCCGGGCTCACTGCAGACCTCCTTGCACAAGTCGCTGTGACAGCGCTTCCGCATGGCTCACGCAGGAATGAATGAAAGGCTGGGCGCTCCCTCTTGATATATACTTCGGAAACTTGTTGGTCTGCCCTTTGCCATCGGCCCATGGTGCTCACAGTCCCCCGTGGTACTTGCTGGACCGGACTGGGACTGACTGGACCTTACCGCTGACTGACCGTGGACTCACTGCTAACCTACCGTAGTCGTACTGCAATTGCACTGCAGTTTAGTCCACCACTTGACTCGCCACTTGACCACTTGCCCACTTGCCGACCTTCTAGAAGGACTACAGCTAGATCGAACCCCTGCTACCTATGGACCTATGACAGACCTACCAACTGTCTACGAATATACAGGTCACAGGTTCAACTCTCGGGGTCTACACTGGTACTGTACATGGGCAGGACGAGGTCTAGGGATCGAACCCTGGGTACTGCATCTGCTACTGCTAAAAGGTGAAAACCGTTTCAGAAGCATGATTGCATCTCCTAAATCCAAGGCTGCTAAGTGTGTCAACCAAACAAGAGTTTCACGCAGCCTCCCCTCGGACTACTGAAACCCTTGCCTATCCCATCAGGTCCCGACAACTCTGTGTCTATAGAGTCAAATAGTATAGACTTTATGGACACTAAAGTTAGAAGTAAGAATGGCAATAGTCAAGTCATGGTCGTCGTAGATAGATTTAGTAAATTTTCTGTTTTTATTCAGCTGCCCGCAGAAGCCAAAACCGACTTAGTCATTAGGGGTTTTTTCAACTACTGGGTCAAGGACTATGGACATCCCTTGACTATAGTCAGCAATAGAGACACGTGATCCACTGGTCAACACTGGCAACCCCTAGTGAATGTATATGGTTCCAAGCTACCGTCTTCACCCGAATAGAACGCCCGGTCATTATAGCTGTATTTGGCACAACTTTCGGCCCAGATACGGCGATAATTACCAGGCGTTCTATTCGGGTGAAGACGGTAGCAATGTTGTCAGGTAGACACCAATGGACAGACCGAGCAGATGAATAAGAGGCTGCAACAATTATGCGTATCTACATCAGACCAGACCAGACCAGGTAGACTGGGATGAACATCTTCCCAAGGTCGCTAGCACTTACAACAACTCTGTCCATCTAGCTACATCGAGCACCCACAATGAACTTCATAAAGGATGGAGCCCTGGAAGGCCGATTGACTGTCTCAACCCAGATCAGATCCAACGACTACCCCTTGGCACGTGTGAGTTTGCCATCCAATATAAAAGGGATCTACAGAGGGTTGCCGAGAACATCCGGAAGTCCCAGCACCAGATGATTGAGCATGCAGTAAGCACCACCGTCCTTCGCAGTTTGGGGTAGGTGACTTAACCTGGGCCAATCTAAAGAGTTCGTTCCCAAGGAGCTATCACACAGCGCATCCCACAGCAAACAACCGTCTTCCTAGCAGCTTTACGCTTCGACTTATGCCAGTTCGCTACAAGCTGCAGTCTCGGTGTGCTTTCAACAAGCGCTGAGCCACCACACAATACGAACAAAACCTTTATGGGACTGATCTCAGCTCAAGATTCTGGAACCAGTACCCAAAAGTAATCTTCTGAGAGATCCAGGATAACAACTGCGGTCTTGGAGCCTGCGGACTTTGTTTTGGTACAACCGCCACAAGCTCGCGTCTCAGTCACGACGAATCGATCAAGCCAACGATGGGAGATCAAGATCAACCAGAAGTAATCATGGAAGAACACGTACAGCACGGTGCAAGGTCCCCTCCATCGGCCCCAGACGAAGCAGATCTTTCAGAGGAGAGAGTCAGAAATCTCATTGCAAAATGTCATGAGGATGGGAACATACCTGTGACAGTGTTGAAATAGAAGGGGGGGAAGTCATCTTTGTAGTTAACTCAGTTTGATCAAATCAAGGTACGCTGGCTCAAGGGGCGTAGAGTGGTGGTTGTATTCAGAGACACAACCAGGGACCTACCAAGGGAGGTCAAAGCGGATCTGATACGTGCATACGAAAATGGATGGACAAGAGATGGAATCTTCGACCCACCCCCTCAACGATGCACTATCAGGTTTTGAAGGGCCCATGTGGTAGCTTACATAGTTAGGAATAGGGTGGTATAGCCTTTTTCCAGATATCTGCGATTCTCTTATCTGGCATCAGATCAGACGCGAAGCGTCTGCTGAGCACAGTGCAAGGTCAGGAAATCAATACTCTAGCTACACGTGAGATTGATTCCGGACAATTAAGAGTCGGAAGGCGCGAGGCGAAGCTGTTTGTCAGCTTCCCTTCCCGAGCCCACAAACAAGGCTAAGGTTTTGGGGGGCGAGCTGCGTGACAGGAAACTGTCACGTGTGGTTCAACTCTCTGGCCAAAATGTACGCAGCAAAATTCAAACTTATTTCATGCGTGGAGCATGCATGAAAGACACCTGGAATGACGAACTCATTCCGGGGACCATAGCCTGTCGTGAAAGGAGATCACTGGAATTAGCCAGTCCTTGGAAGATCTCCGACCGCTCGCCAGAGCAGACGCGAAGCTTCTGCTTTATCGCCAGAGTCGCCTGGTTTAGGGCGCCGCAGCGACTCGTCGCCAAACTCACCTGACTGCCGTTTGTAACTTACAAACACTCTGCGTGGCTTTTTGAGCAGAGGGACGATGGGATTCTATTTATGGCAACTCATACTCACTAAGCTTCAGACCCTTGTTACATGCCCAGTTGGGCGATGTACATACATAACCAAGGATCCGCAATGTGCTGAAAAGGACTGAATGGACAATGCAGTGCTAGTGGAATGTCAACAAGCAGTGTACATCCTGATACATACAAAAATGGTGCT